GAACACACAGGACATGACACTGAGTAATGTTCACAGCGACCGCAGAGCAGGGCCCGAGTCCGACCCAGACTGTGGCATTTAGACAGGGCACACACACACACACACACCCGACGGGATATGGGGCTGAGTGAGGACATCTGCAGCGAAAGCCTCATCGCATCAGCTCCATTACTGCTGCAATCCCAAAAGAAACACTGACATTTGGCTCAATTAAAATCCAGATGACACCCCTTCATGTATACTGAGACAGAGGTCTGTATGTATACTGAGACAGAGGTCTGTATGTATACTGAGACAGGTCTGTATGTATACTGAGACAGGTCTGTATGTATACTGAGACAGAGGTCTGTATGTATACTGAGACAGAGGTCTGTATGTATACTGAGACAGGTCTGTATGTATACTGAGACAGAGGTCTGTATGTATACTGAGACAGAGGTCTGTATGTATACTGAGACAGGTCTGTATGTATACTGAGACAGAGGTATGTATGTATACTGAGACAGAGGTCTGTATGTATACTGAGACAGAGGTCTGTATGTATACTGAGACAGAGGTCTGTATGTATACTGAGACAGAGGTCTGTATGTATACTGAGACAGGTCTGTATGTATAGTGAGACAGGGGTCTGTATGTATACTGAGACAGAGGTCTGTATGTATACTGAGACAGGTCTGTATGTATACTGAGACAGGGGTCTGTATGTATACTGAGACAGAGGTCTGTATGTATACTGAGACAGAGGTCTGTATGTATACTGTGACAGAGGTCTGTATGTATACTGTGACAGGTCTGTATGTATACTGAGACAGAGGTCTGTATGTATACTGAGACAGAGGTCTGTATGTATACTGTGACAGAGGTCTGTATGTATACTGTGACAGGTCTGTATGTATACTGAGACAGAGGTCTGTATGTATACTGAGACAGGTCTGTATGTATACTGAGACAGGGGTCTGTATGTATACTGAGACAGAGGTCTGTATGTATACTGAGACAGAGGTCTGTACAGTGCCTTGCGAAAGTAATCGTCCCCCTTCAACCTTTCAACATTTCGCCACATTTCAGGCTTCAAACATAAAGATATAAAATTTAATTTTTCTTTCTTGAATCAACAACAAGTGGGACACAATCGTGAAGTGGAACGAAATGTATTGGATAATTTAAACTTTTTTAACAAATAAAAAACTGAAAAGTGAGGCGTGCAATATTATTGGGCCCCTTTACTTTCAGTGCAGCAAACTCAGTCCAGAAGTTCAGTGAGCATCTTTGAATGATCCAATGTTGTCCTAAATGACAGATGATGATAAATAGAATGTACCTGTGTGTAATCAAGTCTCCGTATAAATGCACCTGCTCTTTGATAGTCTCAGGGTTCTGTTTAAAGCACAGAGAGAACCATGAAGACAAAGGAACACACCAGGCAGGTCCGAGATACTGTCGTGGAGAAGTTTAAAGCCGGATTTGGATACAAAAATATTTCCCAAGCTTTAAACATCTCAAGGAGCACTGTGCAAGCAATTATATTGAAATGGAAGGAGTATCAGACCACTGCAAATCTACCAAGACCCGGCCGTCCCTCCAAACTTTCATCTCAAACAAGGAGAAGACTGATCAGAGATGCAGCCAAGAGGCCCATGATCACTCTGGATGAACTGCAGATAACTACAGCTGAGGTGGGAGAGTCTGTCCATAGGACAACAATCAGTCGTGCACTGCACAAATCTGGCCTTTATGGAAGAGTGGCAAGAAGCCATTTCTCAAAGATATCCATAAAAAGTCTTGTTTAAAGTTTGCCACAAGCCACCTGGGAGACACACCAAACATGAAACCACAATCGAACTTTTTGGCCACAATGCAAAACGAAATGGATTAAGGGGAAGAAAATGGATTGATGGATGATAATAATACAAATAATGAGTTATTATTCATTCTCTCCAAACTCTGTTGTGATAAACTACTGTAGCCACAGCTGCCCTGGGGCACATTGACAGAAGCGAGGCAACCAGTCTGTGCCATCGGCCCCTCCCACCACCACCAACCATTCACACACACACCAGACTCATTCTAATGTGGGGGAAGTGTCTTGCCTAAGGACACAACCACAGTTTGGCACTTTGGCATCCGCCCCACAGCGGCACCTGGGGTTCCCAGAGGTCTCCCATCACAGTATTAACCAAGCCCTGTCCTGCTGAGCTTCAGAAGCCTGCCCTCCCTCTGGTCTGCCCTTCCATGTTGTGCAGAGCAGCTCCGGTGCGTCCCAGGCCTCCCCCGAGCGACGCTAATGAGGCTGCTGCTCCTCTGGCTGTTTGCACTATGGTTACTGTGGCCTGGGGGAGGGGGGGGGAGGTGAGGGAGTGAGGGAGAGGGGTGGGGGGGGGGGGGAGGGGGTGACGGGGTGAGGGAGAGGGGCGAGGGGGGGGGGGGTGACGGGGTGAGCGAGAGGGGGGAGGGGGGGGAGGGGGTGAGGGAGTGAGGGAGGGGGGGGGGAGGAGGTGAGGGAGTGAGGGAGATGGGCGAGGGGGGGGGGGGGGTGACGGGGTGAGCGAGAGGTCGGAGGGGGGGGAGGAGGTGAGGGAGTGAGGGAGATGGGCGAGGGGGGGGGGGGTGACGGGGTGAGCGAGAGGGGGGAGGGGGGGGAGGAGGTGAGGGAGAGGGGCGAGGGGGGGGAGGGGGTGAGGGAGTGAGGGAGAGGGGTGGGGGGGGAGGAAGTGAGGGAGAGGGGCGAGGGGGGGGTGACGGGGTGAGCAAGAGGGGCGGGGGGGGAGGGGGTGAGGGGTGAGGGGAGTGAGGGAGAGGGGGGGGAGGAGGTGAGGGAGTGAGGGAGAGGGGGGAGGGGGGAGGGGGGGAGAGGAGGTGAGGGAGTGAGGGAGAGGGGGGAGGGGGGGGAGGAGACCTGACAGATCAACACAGAGGATTATTTGTGTTGGAGATAAATACTGTACTTTAGGTTAGGAAAGTTCAGTGTTGCATCGTCACAGAGCAGTAGAAGGAGGAGCACAAGTTAAAGAACAATAACAACACAAACAACAGCATCAGTACAACTCCAGCAGAGAAAGTCTTAAACACAACTCACACACGAGGCTGTTTGTGTGGGAGAGACACACAAACACACACTGATGATGAGGGAAGTGTGGACTCTACAACTGGAGAAGGATCCTTAGGACAGACCGGACTGGTCCAGGGTCCGGCCTCAGGGTCCGGCCTCAGGGTCCGGCCTCAGGGACCTGCTTGGACTGGGTTCACACACATCACTACACAAACGTAACACAAACGTAACACAACCGTAACGACTGGATTCCAAAGCTTTGCAATGAGCTAGAGCATGGCTATAGTGTCGGGCTGGAGTTGGCTGGATGACACTGTGTAGCTCAGTGGTTTAGACGACAGTAAACATAGAATGGTGTCATCAGTGTTAGATTTTCTGTTCCCGCCTCTTTCCAACGACAAATATCACTTTTATTTGACTCTCAGACTTTTGCCTTCTGTAAATCCACAACGTTAGCGACATGTCTGCGCCCATATAAGGGCATCGGCTCCAGCTAGCTAATGTTCAAATCAGCTCCTTCCACATGAATGCTAACTCAGCACTCGGTCCTCATTCAGATCAAACCAGTTCGACAAAGTTATAAGTTCGAGATGCAACATTGGTTTAAAAGATGGAAATGTGAATGAAGCGGGAACGTTGACAAACAAGCTCCTTTCACTTCCTGCTTTTCTTCTTCCATGAAACTAGTCAAATACTTCAGGCTGTTTGTATTTCTGACATGATACAGTCTGATACAGTCTGATACAGTCTGATACAGTCTGATACAGTCTGATACAGTCTGATACATCTGATACAGTCTGATACAGTCTGATACATCTGATACAGTCTGATACAGTCTGATACATCTGATACAGTCTGATACAGTCTGATACAGTCTGATACAGTCTGATACAATCTGATACAGTCTGATACAGTCTGATACATCTGATACAGTCTGATACAGTCTGATACAGTCTGATATATCTGATACAGTCTGATACAGTCTGATACAGTCTGATATATCTGATACAGTCTGATACAGTCTGATACAGTCTGATACAGTCTGATACAGTCTGATACATCTGATACAGTCTGATACAGTCTGATACAGTCTGATACATCTGATACAGTCTGATACAGTCTGATACAGTCTGATACAGTCTGATACAGTCTGATACAGTCTGATACAGTCTGGGCGGCACGGTGGCTGAGTGGATAGCACTCTCGCTTCTCAGCAAGAAGGTCCTGGGTTCGAATCCCGGTCGGACCAGGGCCTTTCTGAGTGGAGTTTGCATGTTCTCCCCGTGTCTGCGTAGGTTTCCTCCGGGTAATCCGGTTTCCCCTACCACTAAAAATATGTCCAATAGTTCTGGCATGTGCCTCCTGTACTGGCCCCTCCCATCTCTGTGTGGAGTGAGAGACAAATGCCCAAAATTAACAATTGTAAACCGCTTTGAGACTCAGATCTGCAGTGAAAAGGCGGTATATAAATAAAGATTACTTACTGATACAGTCTGATCTGATTCTTTTCCACTCTGGATATTTCCCTGTGATGTACCCTTTGCAGCCCTAGTTATGATAAAAGTGTGATTCTCTCTCTCAAAAATATTCAAATGAAACTCAGAGAAGAACAAGCCGTCGCTATAATCACAACAGTACATTTGGTCTCTCTTCTGGTCTCTCCCCCGGTCTCTTCCCTGGGTCTCTCCCCTGGTCTCTCCCCCGGTCTCTCCTCTGGTCTCTCCCCTGGGTCTCTCCCCTGGTCTCTCTTCTGGTCTCTCCCCTGGGTCTCTCCCCTGGTCTCTCCCCCAGTCTCTCCCCTGGGTCTCTCCCCCGGGTCTCTCCCCCGGGTCTCTCACCTGGTCTCTCCCCCGGTCCCCCCGGTCTCTCCCCTGGGTCTCTCCCCTGGGTCTCTCCCCTGGTCTCTCCCCTGGTCTCTCCCCTGGTCTTACCCTGCTCCGGGCTGAGGTTGCGGGCGCTGCTGAGGTCCTCCACAGACATGATGCCCACAGACACACACCCACAGCGGGCTCCATCACCTGTGCTCTCCAGCCTGGCTCCTGTCCGTCCACATGGTCCTCACATGGTCCTCACATGGTTCCGCCGACACACACACTCTCACACACTCACGCAGGCAGCGCTCCTGTGGCAGCGCCCGAACTAAGTGTGTCATGTGCGGAAAGCGCTCAGCTGTAGTGAGGGGAGGGAGGGGGAGGGAGCGGGAGGGAGCGGGAGGGAGGCTGAGGGAGGTGTGCGAGAGGCTGGAGTCAGGGGAGGGGGAGGGAGGGGTGCGAGAGGCTGAGGGAGGGAGGGGGAGGGTGGTGTGCAAGAGGCTGAGGGAGGGAGGGGGAGGGTGGGGGGGGGAGGCTGAGGGAGGGGTGCGAGAGGCTGAGGGAGGGAGGGGGAGGGAGGCGGGGGGAGGGTGGTGTGCAAGAGGCTGAGGGAGGGAGGGGGAGGGTGGGGGGGGAGGCTGAGGGAGGGGTGCGAGAGGCTGAGGGAGGGAGGGGGAGGGAGGGGGAGGGAGGCGGGTGGTGTGCAAGAGGCTGAGGGAGGGAGGGGGAGGGTGGGGGGGGAGGCTGAGGGAGGGGTGCGAGAGGCTGAGGGAGGAAGGGGGAGGGAAGGGGAGGGAGGGGGAGGGAGGCTGAGGGAGGGAGGGGAGGGTGGTGTGCAAGAGGCTGAGGGAGGGAGGGGGAGGGTGGGGGGGGAGGCTGAGGGAGGGGTGCGAGAGGCTGAGGGAGGGAGGGGGAGGGAGGGGGAGGGAGGGGGAGGGAGGGGGAGGGAGGCTGAGGGAGGGAGGGGGAGGGTGGTGTGCAAGAGGCTGAGGGAGGGAGGGGGAGGGTGGGGGGGGAGGCTGAGGGAGGGGTGCGAGAGGCTGAGGGAGGGAGGGGGAGGGAGGGGGAGGGAGGCTGAGGGAGGGAGGGGGAGGGTGGTGTGCAAGAGGCTGAGGGAGGGAGGGGGAGGGTGGGGGGGGAGGCTGAGGGAGGGGTGCGAGAGGCTGAGGGAGGGAGGGGGAGGGAGGGGGAGGGGGGAGGGGGAGGGTGGTGTGCAAGAGGCTGAGGGAGGGAGGGGGAGGGAGGGGAAGTTTGTCTTTTTGGAATAAAACAACTATGGAACAACTACAGTCACAAAGATGTGGATAAGAAGCAAAAAGCCAGATCCTGTCAGAGCACTTAAGCTAATCAGGGCAGGGCCTGGTTAATACAGTGATGGGAGACCTCTGAGAACGGCAGGTGCCACGACGGTAATGAAAATAATAGTCATAATATTAACATGAAAAACCACTGGATTTGAGTGTTTCAGGAGAGGAGGAGGAGAGGGAGGAGGAGAGGGCGGAGGAGAGGGACGAGGAGAGGAGGGAGGAGGGAGGAGAGGGAGGAGGAGAGGGAGGAGGAGAGGGAGGAGGAGAGGGCGGAGGAGAGGGACGAGGAGAGGAGGGAGGAGAGGGAGGAGGAGGAGGAGAGGAGGAGGAGAGGGAGGAGGAGAGGAGGGAGGAGAGGGAGGAGAGAGAGGAGGAGGAGAGGGAGGAGGAGAGGGAGGAGAGAGAGGAGGAGGAGAGGGAGGAGGAGGAGAGAGAGGAGGAGGAGAGGGGCTGAGAGGAAGGAGGCCATGTGTGATCTGAGCTATTTTAGGAGCTGCAGAATTCACACAAAACACAATCTTTTTTATGAACCCTCCACAAAAACACGTGTGTGTGTGTGTGTGTCTGTGTCTGTGTGTGTGTGTGTGTGTGTGTGTGTGTGTGTGTGTGTGTGTGTGTGTGTGTGTGTGTGTGTGTGTGTGTCTGTGTGTGTGTGTGTGTGTGTGTGTGTGTGTGACCATGTGTGAGACCAGAGAGAGACCAGAGAGAGAGACTTGTTCACCACATTTTTAAAGCTTCAAGACCAAAGACCCAGAGACAGACCTGGTCTGGTCTGGTCCTGGTCCTGGTCCTGGTCCTGGTCCTGGTCCTCGTCACCACAGAGACAGAATCATCAACATCCAGGAGTTCAGGCAGAAGGACCATCAGCCGAGAGAGGAGGCACAGACAGAGCAACACACAGCTGTGTGTGACACTCTCTCTGCTCTATGCAACATCACCAGACGCACAACACAACACCACAACACACAACACTGAGGAGGACACTGTCTTCAGCGAGATACAGCCCTGTCAATCCCATTAGCTACAAACACTGGAATCTCTCTCACACACATGCACACACACACACATACACACACACACAGACACACACACATACACACACACATACGCACACACACACACACACACACACACACTGTCCTGAATATTAAAGCATCCATCACAATTCCATAAATAGAGCTTTTTCCCCCTAGTGCCCAGTGAGCATCAGCAGTGACTGGGTGAGGGTCCAGGGAGGGGGGGGGGGGGGGGGGGGGTGCTTGAGGGAGCAGGGTGAGAGAGGGGGGGGGGGGGGGGAGTGGTGGGGAGAGTAGAGCAGGGGTCCAGGGTAAATGGACCTGAGTGCTGCATGTGGCGTGGACACAGCAGAACCACATCAGAGCTTCATCTTTAATTCATCACAGACTGAGAGAGAGAGACTGAGAGAGAGAGACTGAGAGAGAGAGACTGAGAGAGAGAGACTGAGAGAGAGACTGAGAGAGAGAGACTGAGAGAGAGAGACTGAGAGAGAGACTGAGAGAGAGACTGAGAGAGAGAGACTGAGAGAGAGACTGAGAGAGAGAGACTGAGAGAGAGAGACTGAGAGAGAGACAGAGAGAAAGGACTGAGAGAGAGACTGAGAGAGAGAGACAGAGAGAGAGAGACTGAGAGAGAGACTGAGAGAGAGAGACTGAGAGAGAGACTGAGAGAGAGAGACTGAGAGAGAGACTGAGAGAGAGAGACAGAGAGAGAGACTGAGAGAGAGGGACTGAGAGAGAGACTGAGAGAGAGACTGAGAGAGAGAGACTGAGAGAGAGACTGAGAGAGAGAGACAGAGAGAGAGAGACTGAGAGAGAGAGACTGAGGAGAGAGTGAATGTATGTAACTGTTACATACATTTACATATAGTCATCAGACACCATCATCAGACACCATCATCAGACACCATCATCAGACACTATCATCAGACACTATCATCAGACACCATCATCAGACACCATCATCAGACACCATCATCAGACACCATCATCAGACACCATCATCAGACACTATCATCAGACACTATCATCAGACACCATCATCAGACACCATCATCAGACACCATCATCAGACACTATCATCAGACACTATCATCAGACACCATCATCAGACACTATCATCAGACACCATCATCAGACACCATCATCAGACACCATCATCAGACACTATCATCAGACACCATCATCAGACACCATCATCAGACACCATCATCAGACACCATCATCAGACACTATCATCAGACACTATCATCAGACACCATCATCAGACACCATCATCAGACACCATCATCAGACACTATCATCAGACACTATCATCAGACACTATCATCAGACACTATCATCAGACACCATCATCAGACACCATCATCAGACACCATCATCAGACACCATCATCAGACACTATCATCAGACACTATCATCAGACACCATCATCAGACACCATCATCAGACACTATCATCAGACACTATCATCAGACACTATCATCAGACACTATCATCAGACACCATCATCAGACACTATCATCAGACACCATCATCAGACACCATCATCAGACACCATCATCAGACACTATCATCAGACACTATCATCAGACACCATCATCAGACACCATCATCAGACACCATCATCAGACACCATCATCAGACACCATCATCAGACACTATCATCAGACACTATCATCAGACACCATCATCAGACACCATCATCAGACACCATCATCAGACACTATCATCAGACACTATCATCAGACACCATCATCAGACACTATCATCAGACACCATCATCAGACACCATCATCAGACACTATCATCAGACACTATCATCAGACACCATCATCAGACACCATCATCAGACACCATCATCAGACACTATCATCAGACACTATCATCAGACACCATCATCAGACACTATCATCAGACACCATCATCAGACACCATCATCAGACACCATCATCAGACACTATCATCAGACACTATCATCAGACACCATCATCAGACACCATCATCAGACACCATCATCAGACACTATCATCAGACACTATCATCAGACACTATCATCAGACACCATCATCAGACACCATCATCAGACACCATCATCAGACACCATCATCAGACACTATCATCAGACACTATCATCAGACACCATCATCAGACACCATCATCAGACACCATCATCAGACACTATCATCAGACACTATCATCAGACACCATCATCAGACACTATCATCAGACACCATCATCAGACACCATCATCAGACACCATCATCAGACACTATCATCAGACACTATCATCAGACACCATCATCAGACACCATCATCAGACACCATCACCAGACACTATCATCAGACACTATCATCAGACACTATCATCAGACACCATCATCAGACACCATCATCAGACACCATCATCAGACACCATCATCAGACACTATCATCAGACACCATCATCAGACACCATCATCAGACACCATCATCAGGCACTATCATCAGACACCATCATCAGACACCATCATCAGGCACCATCATCAGGCACCATCATCAGACACCATCATCAGACACCATCATCAGACACCATCATCAGACACCATCATCAGACACCATCATCAGACACCATCATCAGACACCATCATCAGACACCATCATTAGACACTATCATCAGACACCATCATCAGACACCATCATCAGACACCATCATCAGACTCTGATCTTGCTGAGTATTAATTTCCTGAAATACATGGAACACTGGAGACAAACGAACACTGCTGACCTCATGTCCTGCTCCTGTGCAGTAAACAACGATGCAACACTGAACTTTCCTGCTGTGGGACCAAAGGACATCTTTATTCCTTTCCATGTTTTTTATGTTGCAAACACACAATGACAAAAGGAGCAGGTGCCTACTGTATGTTATGTGATTGTGTGTTTTTGTGTGTGTATTTTGTGCGTGTGTGTGTGTGTGTATGTGTGTATTGTGTGTGTGTGTGTGTGTGTGTATGTGTGTGTGCATGTGTGTTTATGTGTGTGTGTGCGTGTATGTTTGCCTGTGTGCGTGTGTGTGTGTGTATTTTGTGTGACTCTGTATCAGTAATGACAGATGCCCTTTCTCTGTGATGTGAACACTGTAACATCTTGCTACATGTGACATCATCTCGGTCAAACTTGTAAATAAAAACTTAGAGCAAAGTGGATTAAATGATGCTGAATGTTCAAATATCTGGAGGAGCAGAGTCCGTCCTGTGACTTCGGAAACTTTGCACAAAACATTTTAGACGCAGCGTAAATATTAAAATGAAATGGTAAAATTCAGGCCATGTTCTGTGTGTCAGATTTGAGGGCCGCTGTCCAAGGTCCTGAAGACGAGCGGAATACAGAGCACAGAGTCAGGAGCACTCAGGCCACAGGGAAAGTTTAGTTTGTTAGGTCGGATAGTCCACATCCGCATCAACATCTGCATCACCATCTGCATCAACATCTGCATCTGCATCTGCATCAACATCTGCATCACCATCTGCATCAACATCTGCATCTGCATCTGCATCTGCATCTGCATCAACATCTGCATCTGCATCAACATCTGCATCTGCATCTGCATCTGCATCAACATCTGCATCTGCATCTGCATCACCATCTGCATCAACATCTGCATCTGCATCTGCATCAACATCTGCATCAACATCTGCATCTGCATCTGCATCTGCATCAACATCTGCATCTGCATCAACATCTGCATCTGCATCTGCATCTGCATCAACATCTGCATCTGCATCTGCATCAACATCTGCATCTGCATCAACATCTGCATCTGCATCAACATCTGCATCTGCATCAACATCTGCATCAACATCTGCATCTGCATCTGCATCAACATCTGCATCTGCATCAACATCTGCATCTGCATCTGCATCAACATCTGCATCTGCATCTGCATCAACATCTGCATCTGCATCAACATCTGCATCAACATCTGCATCTGCATCAACATCTGCATCAACATCTGCATCTGCATCAACATCTGCATCAACATCTGCATCAACATCTGCATCTGCATCAACATCTGCATCAACATCTGCATCTGCATCTGCATCAACATCTGCATCAACATCTGTATCTGCATCAACATCTGCATCTGCATCAACATCTGCATCTCCATCAACATCTGCATCTGCATCAACATCTGCATCTGCATCACTCTGCATCACTCTCTGCATCACTCTGCATCACTCTCTGCATCACTCTCTGCATCACTCTCTGCATCACTCTCTGCATCACTCTCTGCATCACTCTCTGCATCACTCTCTGCATCACTCTCTGCATCACTCTCTGCATCACTCTCTGCATCCATGAAGCAGCAGCAGAGTCAGTGTCTGTGGAGGACAAGGCCGTGTGCTTCTGCCCACGGACAGGGTTAGGGTTGGGGTAAAAGTCCTGGCTGAAGTGGTCCTGTCTCCAGGGCAGTTAGAGCTGAAGCAAAGTACTAGAACAATAGATACAAGAATATAAACCAGGTGAGTAGTAAGTCATGTTTATTTATGTAGCGCATTTTACAGACCAAGGTACAGACCCAAAGCTCTTTACAACGTTCAGAAATCAGATATTTTTCCCTTCACACAGTGATCACAGCAGAGAGACCTGAACACACTGGTCCATCAAAGCCTCCGACCAAACACCCTCCATTCACTCACTACATTCAGGCTATTGTACATGTTTTTAGTGGTGGGGGGAAACCGGAGCACCCGGAGGAAACCAAAGCAGATACGGGAACAACATGCAAATTCTATTCAGAAAGACCCTGCTCTGACTGGGATTTGAACCCAGAACCTTCTTGCTGAGAAGCAAGAGTGCTAACCACTCAGCCACTGTGCTGCCCAGAACTATATAAACCAAACAATTAATACAATTAAACAAGGCACAGAGGTTGCTGGCTCTAACACAGAGTAAGGCTCTAGGAGGCACATGCCAAGTGTTTAGTGGTAGGGGAAACCGGAGCACCTGGAGGAACCCTACGCAACACAGGTAGAATATGCAAACTCAACACAGAAAGGCTCAGTCTGGAATAGAACCAGCTTGAAATAGAATAGAAACCTCTGCCTCTCTGTGAAGCAGCCGACAGCCTGAGGGTTAGAGAGATGGTGGTAGCGCCATCTCCTGGACAGAGACGAGGAGCGCCGCTCTGCTCTACGAGTGCTTTCATTAAGGATTACAACAACACTAAAGTTAGTCCTACTGTTGTATTATTCCCTGATCACAGGGACTGAACAACATGAGGGACAGGAATCAGGTCTTGTTATCGCAGCATTTCCTGTCTTTGAACTGTTTGATTCTCTGATCTGTGCTGGAGAATCGACAGAGAAACGACTGGTTTAGGGATATATGTATGTGTCACTGTACTTCCTGCTCCTGTCGCAGCTCAGTCTGATGGAAGCAGAAGTGAAATCCTCTCAAACTGGACCACATCAAACCATGGCGGCCAGAGCTCGGCGCCGGTGGAAACGGTGCAGAATGTATCACATCTGGTGCTTCCACTTCCTGCTGCATGAATAATGAAAACATGAAGAGTCTCTGCTTCATGCATCTTTCATCGTCAGGAACAACAACCCTTTTGTAGCGGCCCCACAGCAGGGCCTGAACCTCCGCCCAACCCTGCACTCCAGGAGCCGCTCGGCTGCTCGGGCCTCGCTGCTCTGCTGCATGTGGAGCAGGGCGGGGGGGGGGGGGGGGGGGGGGGGGGTCCTGCTATTTGCTGCTGTATGTGGGACTGCGGACCCCTGAGACTGAGCCGAGTGTGAAGATGTTTTATAAAAGAGGCTCGCGTCAAAACTGGCCACGATCCACTCACTTCACATGAACTGGTGCATTACTGTGTTCCTATAGGGGGCGGTCTATAGGGGGAGCCCTATATGGGGGGGCTCTATAGGGGCACTCTATAGGGGAGCTCTATAGGGGAGCTCTATAGGGGAGCTCTGTAGGGGAGCTCTATAGGGGAGCTCTATAGGGGAGCTCTGTAGGGGGAACTCTATAGGGGAGCTCTATAGGGGCGCTCTATAGGGGAGCTCTATAGGGGAGCTCTATAGGGGAGCTCTATAGGGCAGCTCTAAATTGGGCGCACTATAGGGGGAGCTCTATATGGGGAGGCTCTATTGGGCAGCTCTATAGGGGAGCTCTGTAGGGGGAACTCTATGGGGGAGCTCGATAGGGGCGCTCTATAGGGGAGCTCTATAGGGGAGCTCTATAGGGGAGCTCTGTAGGGGGAACTCTATAGGGGCGCTCTAAAGGGGAGCTCTATAGGGGCGCTCTATAGGGGAGCTCTATAGGGGAGCTCTATAGGGGAGCTCTGTAGGGGGAACTCTATAGGGGCGCTCTAAAGGGGGGCTCTATAGGGCAGCTCTATAGGGGGCGCTCTATAGGGGGAGCTCTATAGGGAAGCTCTATAGGGCAGCTCTATAGGGGGCGCTCTATAGGTGGAGCTCTATATGGGGCGCTCTATAGGGCAGCTCTATATGGGGGGCCTCTATTGGGCAGCTCTATAGGGGAGCTCTGTAGGGGGAATTCTATAGGGGAGCTCTGTAGGGGAGCTCTATAGGGCAGCTCTATAGGGGGCGCTCTATGGGTATAGGGGGGTGCTCTTTAGGGGGGCGCTCTATAGAGGGGGCGCTCTATAGGTATCACATCTGGTAGATGTGATACCTATAGAGAGCTCCTTATAGAGCTCCCCTATAGAGCTCCCCTATAGAGCTCCCCTGCAGAGCTCCCCTATCTATAGGTATCATATAGATAGGGGAGCTCTGCAGGGGAGCTCTATAGGGGAGCTCTATAGGGGAGCTCTATAAGGGGCGCTCTATAGAGGGGGCGCTCTATAGGGGAGCTCTATAGGGGAGCTCTATAGGGGAGCTCTATAGGGGGAGGGGTATCTGAGGTGTACTTACAGGTAACATGATTTGCCGACACTTCCTTTGATTTTTTTCTAATTTAAATCACATAAAAAGTTTTGTACCAAGAATATGTTGTTATTTTTGTGTGTGGCAAAAGTCTGAGTCTGAAACTTATGACACCAGGATCCATGACATATCCAACACTTTCACATCTGCTGAACCAGAGACATTTCACATTTCTCACACATTGAACCGGACTGGGCCCAGGGCTGCGGCGTCTGTTCGATGACATCACTCCAGTTTGGGTTCATGTGTGACATCAATCATGTCATGGCGGGCCTGGTGTTGCAGAATAATGTTACGTGTTGTGTTCGACGGCTGGTGTCGAGCCTCCTGCACCAGGGGAACCCCATGGCTCAGTGTTATGGACCAATAAAGCATTTCCTGTGTTATTAAAACATCAGACTCTGGTGTCATTTTCTATTTTAGAATCTGAGCCTTGGAACATCCATCAGTAACATTTCTCTAAGCCCTTGTTTTATTATGCTCATGTTCATGTTATAATGTTAAATTCAAATTTATTTGACAAGGACATGGTTTTCCTCCAAGTCCCTGAGCAGAGAAAGTTACAGCAGGTTTACACTGAGCAAAGAAAAAACACAGAGAACAACCTAGTTACAGGTACACAACATGTAACCACAAAGACACACAACATGTAACCACAAAGACACACAACATGTAACCACAAAGACACACAACATGTAACCACAAAGAGTAAAACAGGCTCAGTTCATGGAAACCAATATTGAAATATTGACTTAATCTGTAAAAAAGGTGTTTTTCTTCCTTTCCCGGACTAGGATTTTAATGTCTGCAGCGAAGAAAACACTGACAGTGGATTGTTAGATCATTAGATTGTCAGATTATTAGATTTTCAGATTATTACAATATAAGATTAATAGATTATTAGATTGTCAGATTATTAGATTCTCATATTATTAGAATGTCAGATTATTAGAATACAAGATTATTAGATTATTAGATTGTCAGATTATTAGATTGTCAGATTATTAGATTGTCAGATTATTAGATTGCCTGATTATTAGATTATTAGATTGACATATTATTAGATTGTCAGATTATTAGATTGTCAGATCATTAGATTGCCTGATTATTAGATTATTAGATTGACATATTATTAGATTGTCAGATTATTAGATTGTCAGATCATTAGATTGTCAGATTATTAGATTGTCAGATTATTAGATTATTAGATTGACATATTATTAGATTGTCAGATTATTAGATTGACAGATTATTAGATTATCAGATTATTCGATTGTCAGATTATTAGATTGCCTGATTATTAGATTGAAAGATCATTAGATTGTCAGATCATTAAATTGTCAGATTATTAGATTGCCTGATTATTAGATTGTCAGATCATTAGATTGTCAGATTATTAGATTGCCTGATTATTAGATTGTCAGATTATTAGATTGACATATTATTAGATTGTCAGATTATTAGATTGACAGATTATTAGATTATCAGATTATTAGATTGCCTGATTATTTAATTTTCAGATCATTAGATTGTCGGATTATTAGATTGACAGATTATTAGATTATCAGATTATTAGATTGTCAGATCATTAGATCGTCAGATTATAAAATTTTCAGATTATTAGATTTTCAGATTATTAGATTTTCAGATTATTAGATTGTCAGATTATTAGATTTTCAGTTTATCAAATTGTCAGATTATTAGATTGTCAGATTATAAAATTGTCAGATTATCAGATTGTCAGATCATTAGATTTTCAGATTATTAGACTGTCATATTATTAGATTGTCAGATTATTAGATTTTCAGATTATCAGATTATTATATTGTCAGAGTATTAGATAGTCAGATTATCAGATTGTCATATTATTAGATTGTCAGATTATCATATTATCAGATTGTCAGATTATCAGATTGTCAGATTATTCGATTTTCAGATTATTAGATTGCCATATTATTACATTGCCTGATTATTTAATTGTCAGATCATTAGATTGTCAGATTATTAGATTGTCAGATTATTAGATTGTCAGATTATTAGATTATCAGATTATTAGATTGCCTGATTGTTTAATTGTCAGATCATTAGATTGTCAGATTATTAAAATTTCAGATTATTAGATTGTCAGATTATTAGATTGTCAGATTATTAGATTGCCTGATAATTATATTGTCGGATTATTATATTATTAGATTGCCTGGTTATTAGATTGTCATATTATTAGATTGACAGATTATTAGATTATCAGATTATTAGATTGTCAGATTATTAGATTGTCAGAACATTACACTGTCAGATCATTAGATTGTCAGATTATTAGATTGTCAGATTATTAGATTGTCAGATTATCAGATTGTCAGATTATTAGATTGTCAGACTATTAGATTGCCAGATTATTAGATTGTCAGATCATTAGATTTTCAGATTATCAGATTATTATATTATTAGATTGTCAGATTATTAGATTGTCAGATTATCAGATTGTCATATTATTAGATTGTCAGACTATTATATTGCCAGATTATTAGATTGTCAGATTATTAGATTGTCAGATAATTAGATTTTCAGATTATTAGACTGTCATATTATTAGATTGTCAGATTATTAGATTGTCAGATTATCAGATTTTCCGTCGAATTGTTATTCACGCGGGTGGTAATGACGTTCGGCGGAAACAGTCCGAGGTGTTGAAGCTGCAAGTCGCCGCGGTGTGCAAGCTGGCTAGCACAATGGCCGACACTGTCATCTTCTCTGGGCCCCTACCTAGCACTAGCAGTGCAGAAGCATTCAGCAGACACTCGGCTTTCAACCGCTGGCTGTCTGGCTGGTGCCCTCCAAGTGGTGTTGTTCATGTTGACAATTGGAGTGCCTTTTGGGGAAAGCCCGGTCTCATCCGCTCGGATGATATCCACCCAACGTTGGCGGGTACATCCCTTTTGGCTACGAATTTGGCCCTGGCTCTAAACTGTTCTGCTCGGCTCAAATGACGATGCAGAACTGAGGCCCGGGTGCAGAGCTGCTCTGCCACAACCTCTGAGCCCCCATCTGTTCAGTTACTAGCCTCAGAAGCTAGTCAGATTGAAACTGTGTGTGCATGTGTGTGTGTGCCTGTGTGTGCTCAGTTACTAGCCTCAGAACCTAGTCAGATTGAAACTGTGTGTGCATGTGTGTGCTCAGTTACTAGCCTCAGAACCTAGTCAGATTGAAACTGTGTGTGTGTGTGTGTGTGTGTGTGCCTGTGTGTGCTCAGTTACTAGCCTCAGAACCTAGTCAGATTGAAACTGTGTGTGTTCCCCGCTTGAAGTCTAAAGCACTATATGCGAGGAAATCTGACCTAGGTGTCAGACACAGTAACTTAATAAAAGTTCAGACAGACAGAAATAGTTCTAACAGTAGGGTTGTTAAATGTGGTTTAATGAACGTCAGATCAATCTCGTCTAAATCGCTTCTCATAAACGAACTTATTATAGACAAGGGCTTGGATCTGTTAGCGCTCTCGGAGACTTGGCTCCAACAGGACGAGTACGTTAGATTGAATGAGTGCACTCCTCCGACGCATGTTAACTACCAGAAAGCCAGAGCTACAGGTCGCGGCGGTGGCGTTGCGATTATATCACACACCAACTTGGTTCTTAGTCCCAAAACCAACAACGCTTTTCACTGGTTTGAAAACTTAACACTTTCAATCACCTGTCCTGGGTGGAGAAAACAAAAAGCAGTACTATTTATAGTTTTATACCGACCTCCTGGTCCTTACAGCGAGTTCCTAACAGAATTCTCTGACTTCATTTCAAACCTAGTTTTGGAATGGGAAAACATAGTTATAGCTGGAGACTTCAATATACATGTGGACGACAGCACTGACAGCTTAAACAAAGCTTTCAGCGCCGTACTAGATGGTGTTGGTTTTACTCAGAATGTCGAGGAACCTACTCACATTCATAACCACACCTTGGACCTTGTCCTGACCTACGGCTGTGATGTCTCCAATGTTGACATCCAGCGTCAAAGCTCGTTGCTGTCTGACCATTTCTTGATCACGTTTGATCTCGCTTTGGAGGACTTTCCTGTCCCGCAAGATAAAACCATAATGAAAAGAACCTTAAATGATAAATCTATCACAAGGTTCAAAGAACTAATACAGCCTATGTTGAATACTGCTGCAGGTGAACCTGTTCACAGCAGCTGCAGTCCCTCAGTCATTGACCAAACGGTGGGCAACACTATGGAGTCTTTAAAATCTGCATTAAATGCAGCAGCTCCTTTAAAACAGAAAACCATTAGGATTAGATCATCGTCGCCCTGGTACAGTGTTCAACTCCACACTTTAAAACAGGACGTCAGAAAATTGGAGAGGCTATATCGCCACTCCCACTCGGAGCCTGTCCACAGGGAGTGGAAAGCAGGTCTCCGAAACTACAAGAAGGCCCTTCGCGGGGCTCGAACTCAATACTATTCAACTTTAATAGAAGCCAATAAAAACAACAGTAGATTTTTGTTTGGCACCGTCGCTAAACTCACAAACTGCCATAGCGCAATCGAGCCTAAAATTCCAAGCTCACTGAGCAGTGTCGACTTTCTCCACTTCTTTAATAATAAAATGACATCCATCCGTGACAAACTGGAGGAGGTTGCTCCTGCTGTTAGTGGTGGACAGGTTGAAGCGACATACGTGACTTCCCACTTAGACTCTTCAGTGGGCCTTAATAAATTCATGGCTGTGAGCCAAGCAGAGGTGATCTCTGTGGTCACATCCTCAAAAGCCTCAACTTGCATGTTAGACGCAGTCCCGACATGGCTCTTCAAAGACATACTTCCTTTGATAATTGAGCCTATCGTAAATATAATAAACGCATCCATACAATGTGGCTATGTCCCACAAGCTTTTAAAACCGCGGTAATCAAACCCCTTCTGAAGAAAACAAACCTGGACCCAGAAATACTTACAAACTACAGACCGATCTCGAACCTCACTTTTATATCTAAAATCCTGGAAAAACTTATAGCTGAGCAGCTCCGCTGCCACCTGCAGGAAAATGATATGTTTGAAGTCTTTCAATCAGGATTCAGAGCTCATCATAGACTGAAACGGCTCTAGTCAAAGTCACAAATGACTTACTACTAGCTGCCGATAATGGACAAGTGTCAGTGCTGGTCCTACTGGACCTTAGTGCTGCATTTGACACAATAGACCACAGCATTCTACTGCAGAGGCTAGAATGTGATATAGGTCTTAGAGGAACAGCCCTTGGCTGGTTTAAATCCTATTTATCAGATCGATATCACTTCGTCAATGTGAATCAGGACTCGTCGCCTTATTCTGGAGTGGAATTCGGTGTGCCGCAGGGTTCGGTACTCGGACCGATTCTTTTTACTCTCTACATGCTGCCACTGGGAAACATTATTAAAAAGCATGGAATTAATTTCCACTGCTATGCAGATGACACACAGCTTTATCTGTCGATGAAGCCTAACCAGACAGATCAGCTAGAAAAGCTCAGTGCCTGCATAAAGGACCTTAAAATGTGGATGACTCTTAACTTCCTACTTCTCAACCCGGAGAAGACAGAAGTGATCCTACTCGGTCCGAAGCGCCTGCGTGACTCCCTCACTAACCAGATGGTTACTCTCGATAATGTCAGTATAATACCCAGTAACACTGTGAGGAATCTTGGAGTCATTTTTGACCAAGAACTCTCCTTCAAGGCTTATATAAGCCAAGCAACTAAAACGGCGTACTTCCACTTACGGAACATCGCTAAAATTAGGAATTTCCTTCCTAAAAGTGACGCGGAAAAACTCATTCACGCGTTTGTCACCTCAAGGCTCGACTACTGTAACGCTTTACTGGCAGCGTGCCCTAAAGCCTCTTTGAAGAGCTTCCAGCTCGTTCAGAATACAGCAGCTAGGATCTTAACAGGTACCAAAAGGAGGGAGCACATAACTCCGGTGTTAAAATCACTCCACTGGCTCCCTGTGGAGTACAGAATAAAGTTTAAAATCCTTCTCTTAACATATAAAGCCATAAATGGCTTGGCTCCTTCTTATCTCCAAGACACGTTAGTGTCGTATCAACCAGGTCGAGCGTTGCGCTCACAAAACGCCAGACGTCTGGTGGTCCCTAAGGTCTCAAAGGTCACTGTTGGTGGCAGAGCATTTAGCTCCAAGCTCCTTTACTGTGGAATCAGCTTCATTTATGTTAAGGAAGCAGATACGGTCTCCACATTCAAGGCCAGGCTTAAAGCACTCTACTTTAATTTAGCATATAATTAGGTAATATATAATATGTAGTGTATATATTATACTGTATATATATGCTGTATTATGTTATATATTATGTTATATATTATTCAATAATGTATTGTGTTATGTTGTATATTATGTTATATATTATGCTGTATGTTATTCTTTATTCAAGGCTAGGTTTAAAACAGTCCTCTTTAGTTTAGCATATGGCTAGGAAGGTAAGACTCGGAGAAGGCTAAACTCCTCAGAGTGTTAGTCAAGCTGCATAGGGCGCCCCCTGCTGGAGAAGTATGGTAACTTGAGCACTATCCTCTCCTCCTTCCTACTTTATCTGTTTAGCACTTTTAGGATTCTGACTGTAGTTTGTTCATTGCTATTCACCCGTTGTCCCATTGTCTGTTTCATGGTACGATGACGGGATCTCTGAGCCTGGCCTCCTCCATCTACACCTGCGGACTGCCCCGCCCGACCCGCCTGGGAGTGCTTCAGTCCTGCACCGGACCTGTCCACGTTCAGCGGCCACTGGTCCACGTTCTGTAGCTAGCTTAGGTCCTGGATCATTAGCCTGTCCGTCCGGAGGAGCGGATCCCTTTCTCATATGGGTCTCCCTCCCTGTGGGTTTCCCTAGTTCTCCTCCAAGGTTTCTCACTTTTTCCCACTGGGTTTTTTAAGAGTTTTTCCTTGTCGATGCAGGAGGGTCTTGTTGGACAGTTAGTGTCCAACAGAAAGGATTGGTGATGATCAGGACACTTTAGCATTCTACAACATGTATGGACATTTTCTTCTGTGTGTGCTTTATATTCTTCATGTGTTTTAACTGTTGATTCTCTGACCTGTGTTGGTGATTTCAATGGTTTTGTTAAGTCTCTGAGATGACTTCTGTTGTGACCTAGGGCTATAACAAGAATAAATTACAGAGTATTGTATTTGTATTGGTGTATTATATTGACATATTATTTGATTGTAAGATTATCAGATTGTCAGATTATCAGATTATCAGATTATTAGATTGAGAGATTATTAGATTGTCACATTGTCAGATTATCAGATTATTAGATGGTGTTAAACACAGGAACAATGGTTCACCTGTTATTACGACCAGCAGCGGCTGTTCCACAAGTTTGACAAATCCATTCTCATTCTCTCTTTCTCTCTTTCTCTCATTCTTCTATTTCTCTCTTTCTCTCATTCTTCTATTTCTTCTCTTTCTCTCATTCTCTCTTTCTCTCTTTCTCCTCTTTCTCTCATTCTCTCTTTCTCCTCATTCTCTCTTTCTCTCATTCTCTCTTTCACAGCTCCACCACAGCATTTGCATAAAATGATTGGTCGGAGGTCGACGGCAGAATGAATGACTTTTGATCAACTGACAGCGACACGAGAAAGAAGAGCAGCCTCAGGCCATGTCTGTCTCTCTCTCTCTCTCTCCCTCGCTCACTCCCTCTCTCTCTCTCCCTCTCTCTCTCTCCCTCGCTCTCCCTCTCCTCTCTCTCTCCTCTCTCTCCCTCTCTCTCTCCCTCACTCTCTCTCCCTCTCTCTCTCTCCCTCTCTCACTCTCCCTCGCTCTCTCCTCCCTCTCTCTCTCTTCTCTCTCTCCTCCTCTCTCTTCTCTCCCCTCTCTCCCTCTCCCTCTCAGCCTCTCTCGCTCTCTCTTTCTCTCTCTCTCTCTCTCCCTCTCGCTCTCCCTCTCTTCGCTCTCTCTTTCTCTCACCCTCTCCCTCTCCCTCTCGCCTCTCTCTCTTTCTCTCCCCCCTCCCTCTCCCTCTTTCACCTCTCTCGCTCTCCCTCTCTCTCTCTCTCTCTCTCTTCTCTCTCTCTCTCTCTCTCACCTCTCCTCACCCCTCTCGCGTTCTCTCTCTTTTCTCTCTCCCTCTCCCCCTCTCCCCTCCCTCTCGCTCTCTCTCTCTCCTCCCCCCCTCTCTCCTCTCTCTGTCTCTCTCTCTCTCTCTCTCTCTCTCTCTCTCCCCTTTCTCCCTCTCTCTCTGTCTCTCTCTCTCTCTCTCTCTCTCTCTTCTCTCTCTCTCTCTCTCTCTCTCTCTCTCTCCCCTTCTCCCTCTCTCTCTGTCTCTCTCTCTCTCTCTCTCTCTCTGTCTCTCTCTCTCTCTCTCTCTCTCCCCTTTCTCCCTCTCTCTCTGTCTCTCTCTCTCTCTCTCTGTCTCTCTCTCTCTCTCTCTCTCTGTCTCTTCTCTCTCTCTCTCTCTCTCTCTCTCCCCCTTCTCCCTCTCTCTCTGTCTCTCTCTCTCTCTGTCTCTGTCTCTCTCTCTCTCTCTCTCCACATGGTCCTGTATCTGGTTCAGAGTGTGTTTATGTAATGTGAGGCCCCAGACGCAGGAGCCCAGTGTGGTCCATGACCCACTTCTGTCAGAGCAGAACCCCCTCACCTCCCACTCACCTCCTCCCTCACCTCCTCCCTCACCTCCTCCCTCACCTCCTCCCTCACCTCCCCCCTCACCTCCTCCCTCACCTCCTCCCTCACCTCCTCCCTCACTCTCCTCCCTCACCTCCTCCCTCACCTCCTCCCTCACCTACCCCCCTCACCTCCTCCCTCACCTACCCCCCTCACCTCCTCCCTCACCTCCCCCCTCACCTCCTCCCTCACCTACCCCCCCTCACCTCCTCCCTCACCTACCCCCCTCACCTCCTCCCTCACCTACCCCCCTCACCTCCTCCCTCACCTACCCCCCCTCACCTCCTCCCTCACCTACCCCCCTCACCTCCTCCCTCACCTACCCCCCTCACCTCCCCCCTCACCTCCTCCCTCACCTCCTCCCTCACCTCCCCCCTCACCTCCTCCCTCACCTCCTCCCTCACCTCCTCCCTCACCTCCTCCCTCACCTACCCCCCTCACCTCCTCCCTCACCTCCCACTGCAGGCTCTCCCCAAAGGCACCAGAAAACTCTAAACTGTACCAGTGTGCTCTAAACTGTACCAGTGTGCACTAAACTGAAGCTGAACCATGTGGACCATGTTACACAGACTGAAGCTGGACCATGTGGACCATGTTACACAGACTGAAGCTCAACCATGTGGACAATGTTACACAGACTGAAGCTGGACCATGTGGACCATGTTACACAGACTGAAGCTGGACCATGTGGACCATGTTACACAGACTGAAGCTGGACCATGTGGACCATGTTACACAGACTGAGGTTGGACCATGTGGACCATGTTACACAGACTGAAGCTGGACCATGTGGACCATGTTATACAGACTGAGGCTGGACCATGTGGGCCATGTTACACAGACGGAAGCTGGACCATGTGGACCATGTTACACAGACTGAGGCTGGACCATGTGGACCATGTTATACAGACTGAAGCTGGACCATGTGGACCATGTTACACAGACTGAGGCTGGACCACGTTACACAGACTGAGGCCCGACCATGTGCACCATGTTACACAGATTGAAGCTGGACCATGTGGACCATGTTACACAGACTGAGGCTGGACCATGTGGACCATGTTACACAGACTGAAGCTGGACCATGTCACACAGACTGAGGCTGGACCATGTGGACCATGTTATACAGACTGAAGCTGGACCATGTGGACCATGTTACACAGACTGAGGCTGGACCATGTTACACAGACTGAGCCTGGACCATGTGGACCATGTGGACCATGTTATACAGACTGAAGCTGGACCATGTGGACCATGTCACACAGACTGAGGCTGGACCATGTGGACCATGTTATACAGACTGAAGCTGGACCATGTGGACCATGTTACACAAACTGAGGCTGGACCATGTGGACCATGTTACACAGACTGAAGCTGGACCATGTGGACCATGTCACACAGACTGAGGCTGAACCATGTGGACCATGTCACAGACTGAGGCTGGACCATGTGGACCATGTTATACAGACTGAAGCTGGACCATGTGGACCATGTTACACAGATTGAGGCTGGACCATGTGCACCATGTTACACAGACTGAAGCTGGACCATGTTGACCATGTTACACAGACTGAAGCTGGACCATATTGACCATGTTACACAGACTGAGGCTGGACCATGTGGACCATGTTACACAGACTGAAGCTGGACCATGTGGACCATGTTACACAGACTGAGGCTGGACCATGTTACACAGACTGAGGCTGGACCATGTGGACCATGTTACACAGACTGAAGCTGGACCATGTGGACCACGTTACACAGACTGAGGCTGGACCATGTGGACCATGTTACACAGACTGAGGCTGGACCATGTGGACCATGTTACACAGACTGAGGCTGGACCATGTGGACCATGTGGACCGCAGACGGATCAGCGTGTGCCTTTCATTAAACTCTGGTTAATCAGCTGTGTTCCCTTCATGGTCCTGTGGAGGAAGTCATTAAGAAAATCAAACCAGAGACTTTGAAGCGGGAGTCGAACTACAGACCTTTGAAACATCTGAACTACAGACCTTTGAAACATCTGAACTACAGACCTTTATCTGAACTACAGACCTTTTAAATAACTGAACTACAGACCTTTATCTGAACTACAGACCTTTATCTGAACTACAGACCTTTGACACATCTGAGAGATCCATGTTCTTCACAAACCACTTTAATGTGCTTTGTCCCCACGCACATAAACAAACAGGCACGCACACATACTCAAATACAGACACAGACACAAACACACACACACACACACACACACACACACACACACACACACACACACAAATACAGACACACACACACACACACTTGTGAGTGCCTGTATAATATGCGTCCTGGGGCCGGTGCTAAAGAGAGTTTTATACGAGGCCTTGAGAACTAATATGATATGATTGTGTTTGTGTCTTTAGATTACTGATACAGCTCCCCCTGGTGGTTGGACTGTGAAACTACAGCCTCAGTCCTGGTCTACAGCCTCAGTCCTGGGTCTACAGCCTCAGTCCTGGGTCTGCAGCCTCAGTCCTGGGTCTACAGCCTCAGTCCTGGGTCTGCAGCCTCAGTCCTGGGTCTACAGCCTCAGTCCTGGGTCTACAGCCTCAGTCCTGGTTTACAGCCTCAGTCCTGGGTCTACAGCCTCAGTCCTGGGTCTACAGCCTCAGTCCTGAGTCTACAGCCTCAGTCCTGGTCTACAGCCTCAGTCCTGGGTCTACAGCCTCAGTCCTGAGTCTACAGCCTCAGTCCTGGTCTACAGCCTCAGTCCTGGGTCTACAGCCTCAGTCCTGGGTCTACAGCCTCAGTCCTGGGTCTACAGTCTCAGTCCTGGGTCTACAGCCTCAGTCCTGGGTCTACAGCCTCAGTCCTGGGTCTACAGCCTCAGTCCTGGGTCTACAGCCTCAGTCCTGGGTCTACAGCCTCAGTCCTGGGTCTACAGCCTCAGTCCTGAGTCTACAGCCTCAGTCCTGGTCTACAGCCTCAGTCCTGGGTCTACAGCCTCAGTCCTGAGTCTACAGCCTCAGTCCTGGTTTACAGCCTCAGTCCTGGGTCTACATCCTCAGTCCTGGTCTACAGCCTCAGTCCTGGTCTACTGCCTCAGTCCTGGGTCTACAGCCTCAGTCCTGGGTCTACAGCCTCAGTCCTGAGTCTACAGCCTCAGTCCTGGTCTACAGCCTCAGTCCTGGGTCTACAGCCTCAGTCCTGGGTCTACAGCCTCAGTCCTGGGTCTACAGCCTCAGTCCTGGGTCTACAGCCTCAGTCCTGGGTCTACAGCCTCAGTCCTGGGTCTACAGCCTCAGTCCTGGGTCTACAGCCTCAGCCCTGGGTCTACAGCCTCAGTCCTGGGTCTACAGCCTCAGTCCTGGGTCTACAGCCTCAGTCCTGGGTCTACAGCCTCAGTCCTGGGTCTACAGCCTCCGTCCTGGGTCTACAGCCTCAGTCCTGGGTCTACAGCCTCAGTCCTGGGTCTACAGCCTCAGTCCTGGGTCTACAGCCTCATTCCTGGGTCTACAGCCTCAGTCCTGGGTCTACAGCCTCAGTCCTGGGTCTACAGCCTCAGTCCTGGGTCTACAGCCTCAGCCCTGGGTCTACAGCCTCAGTCCTGGGTCTACAGCCTCAGTCCTGGGTCTACAGCCTCAGTCCTGGGTCTACAGCCTCAGTCCTGGGTCCACAGCCTCAGTCCTGGATCTACAGCCTCAGTCCTGGGTCTACAGCCTAAGTCCTGGGTCTACAGCCTCAGTCCTGGGTCTACAGCCTCAGTCCTGGGTCCACAGCCTCAGTCCTGGGTCTACAGCCTCAGTCCTGGGTCTACAGCCTCAGCCCTGGGTCTACAGCCTCAGTCCTGGGTCTACAGCCTAAGTCCTGGGTCTACAGCCTCCGTCCTGGGTCTACAGCCTCAGTCCTGGGTCCACAGCCTCAGTCCTGGATCTACAGCCTCAGTCCTGGGTCTACAGCCTAAGTCCTGGGTCTACAGCCTCCGTCCTGGGTCTACAGCCTCAGTCCTGGGTCCACAGCCTCAGTCCTGGGTCTACAGCCTCCGTCCTGGGTCTACAGCCTCAGTCCTGGGTCCACAGCCTCAGTCCTGGGTCTACAGCCTCAGTACGGCTCCTGTCACTCACTTTTGCACAAGCTGCATCTCTTTTGTTTCTCTTTATCTTGATCTGTGTTTCCCAAAGTGTGGAGCCCACGCAGCAGCTCTGAGTCTGAGGAGGACTCCCACATGGCAGACCCTGGACCCCTGGAGACCAGAGAGAGACCAGAGAGAGACCAGAGAGAGACCAGAGAGAGACCAGAGAGAGAGACCAGAGAGAGACCAGAGAGAGAGACCAGAGTGAGAGACCAGAGAGAGACCAGAGAGAGACCAGAGAGAGAGACCAGAGAGAGACCAGAGAGAGAGACCAGAGAGAGACCAGAGAGAGACCAGAGACCAGAGAGAGACCAGAGACCAGGGAGAGACCAGAGAGAGACCAGAGACCAGAGAGAGACCAGAGACCAGGGAGAGACCAGAGAGAGACCAGAGAGAGACCAGAGAGAGACCAGAGAGAGACCAGAGAGAGATCAGAGAGAGACTAGAGAGAGACCAGAGAGAGACCAGAGAGAGACCAGAGAGAGACCAGAGAGAGACCAGAGAGAGAGACCAGAGAGAGACCAGAGAGAGACCAGAGAGAGATCAGAGAGAGACCAGAGAGAGACCAGAGAGAGACCAGAGAGAGAGACCAGAGACCAGAGAGAGATCAGAGAGAGACCAGAGAGAGACCAGAGAGAGACCAGAGAGAGAGACCAGAGACCAGGGAGAGACCAGAGAGAGACCAGAGACCAGAGAGAGACCAGAGACCAGGGAGAGACCAGAGAGAGACCAGAGAGAGACCAGAGAGAGACCAAAGAGAGATCAGAGAGAGACTAGAGAGAGACCAGAGAGAGACCAGAGAGAGATCAGAGAGAGACCAGAGAGAGACCAGAGAGAGACCAGAGAGAGATCAGAGAGAGACCAGAGAGAGACCAGAGAGAGACCAGAGAGAGAGACCAGAGAGAGACCAGAGAGAGACCAGAGAGAGATCAGAGAGAGACCAGAGAGAGAGACCAGAGACCAGGGAGAGACCAGAGAGAGACCAGAGACCAGAGAGAGACCAGAGACCAGGGAGAGACCAGAGAGAGACCAGAGAGAGAGACCAGAGTGAGAGACCAGAGAGAGACCAGAGAGAGACCAGAGAGAGACCAGAGAGAGACCAGAGACCAGGCTACTGAATCATGCAGTCACAGACAGAGCAACACTGCCCCCAGTGGGAATCTAACAAAGCACAGTCTGATGGAAGACACCGTTATAAAAGACACACTCACATCACAGTCCTAATGGTTGGGATTTTTTCAAACTTATACAAAACAATAAACTGGAGATGAAATAAATAAATCACTAAGAACTGTTTGAAAAGAAAGAACTGTTTGAAAAGATCTCTATTGTTAGTCTTTAACTCGGCACATTCAGGTCATTAAACAATACACTCTAT